GGTCCATGGTGGACAGCAGATTTTTTATGAACAGATTTTTTTTAATTACAATTTTTAACATTTTGTTTTACTTAACACCTGTTTTATAGCCAAAATTGATAAAACCTATGCTTATTTTTTTCATATTTTGATACTGGCAAAAAGGGTCCCATTTTGTTGCTGCTCAACCCGAACTATAAATGTTCGCCTTTTGCTGTTCTCTGGTCTAACACTGGTAAGAATACGCCCTTAAAGAAAGATGTTTCTGGTGTAGGCCAATCAGTTTCAGAGACAATGCATACATTACCAGAGCATGTTTGTTCGCATGATCATCACAAGTACGTGTGGTCAATGCAGACTCGATTACTTGCAAAATGTTTCTATTTGGTGTTTGAACATTTTAACACCTGCTGTTTTATTGCCAAGAAAGGGTAAAACCTATGCTTATTTTTTCCTACCTCTTGTTAATCTGTTGATTGGGGGCCCCCTTGTGGTCGACTGGGCCCCTGCGTGTCGCATAACGCTGCTACGTACCCAATAGTTGCGGTACCTACATATGTTATGTACGTTGAACTTCTTTCGTACCGTATGTAGCCAACCGTGTTAATCGGAAGTGCAGGGGGGGGGGGGGGGAAGGACAACAAACACAAAACGCAGTTGTACAGAAATGCATTTTTAATTTCGATTATATTTAATAGTGCATAGCTCTCCATTGGGTTCCTAATATCGGAAGGAAGAGCGTTCCAGATGGCCGCAGTAGCACAAGCACGCAATTGCAGCAATCATCTTGGGCAATTGTTGCCGTTACGGTAACAAGAATTGCCCAAGCTCCAGGGTCCTTTATTTAAACATTAAAGATAATTTTCACAGATGTCCGCATTCTCCTTTACAAACCATAACGGAACCTCGCCGCCCGATACTAAAAACTACTACAGTTCTTCTTCTTTGGTTCTTTCGGTAAAGTCACCACGTAGAATGAGAATAAAATAATAAAATAAAATAATAACATTCTCACGACGTTTCGGCCACAACACAAGTGACAGAGCTCTGTCGTCCCGACAGGTTTGTTCCTTTCACCTGAAGGCCACTTGTGTTGTGGCCGAAACGTCGTGAGAATTTAATTGTGTAATTTTATTTTATTATTTTATTCTCATTCTACGTGACTTTACCGAAAGAACCAAAGAAGATGAATCCTTGCAGTCACGAAAGCTTTAAATCGAAAAATACTACAGTTCTGTTGTTCTCACTCGGTGTGAGTGAAGCTATTCAAATCTGATCACACACGCACATCTTCCGAATTTGATTATCATAAGACACACATGTGACTTCTGCGTCTTATATCATGCGTCTTATAATCAGGACAAGCACGGTGCAATTCAGTGATTGTATAATTTATTCACTAGCCTAGGGGTCGGCAAGAAGAGCAATTTTTGATAGAATTCGGTTAAAATAAAAACCCCTCAATATTTCAAAAGCCGTAATGCACTGTGTGGTGAATACGAGACGGCAGTCCTTGAAAAGCCGCATGCCGCTCCCGAGACTCGGGTTGCCGACCCCTGCACTAGCCTGAAGTTACGGGACTTTACGCGCCTGCGGGTACATCCACCGCGGAGATGGAGCAATGATGGCTTGGGGGAGGCCTTCATACAGCAGCGGATAGATCGTTGCTGACAATTCTCACAGATCAAACGGCAGAATGTCAGGAATATATAAAATGCCCTCTGCAAATTCACCGTACGAAACGATCACAGGGTCAGAGGAATGCGTGCTACACTTTAACACCGCCAAATCGAGGACAAAGCTAATTACAGGCAAAAAACAAGATAGTGAACATGCCGAATCTAGTTCAGGAGGTAGGGGAATTTACGCTGGTCCTCAGCAACATATTCAATTCCCCAGTGAGGAAAAATGATGAAATAGATGCCACAATGTTAAATAATGAGGCCTAGTTAGAAAATGCAATTTAGGCTTAACTTCCTAAATTTGTACCAGTAATTTTTACAAAAGTAATTATAATTTGCACTTAATAGGTATTTAAATGCATATTATACATGTACGAAAGATAACTTTATAATCAGGTGAGCACCCTTGAAGATAAGAGGTTTGATTTTTGCAAGGGAGACCTGGATTGGCAACGTAGCATGTACTTTACACTGCTATTTAATTGCAGGGACTATGGTGAGGTATTTTGACCAAAAGCTTTAGAAAATGTTCAACGAAATGGAATATTTGCCTGCATTTATATTTTTGTAAAGATGGGGCTGTGGTGCAACGTTTATCGTACTACAGAAAGAGCCCCGACAAAGCGAGTTTGATTCCTGGCCAAGGCTAACATCAGTTGGCGAATGCTATCTGAACAGGTACTGGGCCTTGATTTAAAGCTTTCGTGACTGCAGGAATTCATATTCTTTGGGTCGACAAAGGCATGTCTGTGCAACATGAAATCTGTATCTTTGCGGGGAGCGGTAGTGTAGCCGTTAGCGCCAATGCGCTACGAACCCAGCGACCCGAGTTCGTATTCCAACACCAGTGACCATTATCTGAAACAATCCTAGGTTGAAAAAGTGATGTGTAAACATCGCCACTGGGAAGACAAAGGCGGTCCGGCGTGGTGCTGGCTACCCACCCCCGTTCCGTGCGCGCCTATTTTCATAGGTGTCCGCTAAAAGCATTTGTCCCAAAAGTACGTTACGTCTATAGCGCGATTTTTGTCTTTTTATTAGACGCTTATTTATTTATTTTTATACGCTTTTTTATTTTTTACACGTTTTTATTAACTCACTCTGTTGTTGTTGTATCCTCATATCTTGTAACTCAATTTTAACCCACTTCCCAATGTGGTATCGACTGCAAACTTGGTATACTTATGTCATACTGATGACACTACTATATTCTACCATAAAAAAAATATATTTTTAAACATTTTTTTTTATGTTATGTTTCGGCTTGGGTCTAATTGTCCACGCTCAACTGAAGTTGGCTGTAAATCACCACGGTCCCCTTACGTTATGGCAAGCTTCGGGGCCACTTCCTGGAGTCGTGGAGTTCTGCCATTACTAGTAGGGTACATTTCATAAAAGCGTGTTTAAAAAAGTATTTATTAAATATTACTTATTTTTTCTGCATTCGCTTGTTATAAGTATACCCGTGCGCAAAGGCGCAGCTGTGTACACGCTGTGGTCGACAGAGGGCGGTATTGTACAAGCCCTCCACGCTGAAGTGGTCACGATCTCCTCGTGAGTAACGTGGAACGATGCAGGCCACGCCGCAGCATTGGCCAATGGTGCCCTGGCTGAAACAATCAAGGCCGTAGCCATGCAGTCCACATACTTCTATGCATTGTTAAATGAAGATAACTGCAGATATTGTGGCCAAGGTTTTAGAAAATTGATGTTTTTATTTACATATTTACCAGTAAACGTGGGTGGGCGGCAGTGGCGTTTGCTCTGCTCTGCTCTTCAGCCCTCTCTCCTCCTCTCCTCTGCTCCAATATTCTCCTCTCTTCTCCAGTCATCTCTTTTCCTCTCCCCTGCAGTCATTTCTGCTGCTTTCCTCTGCTCTCCTATCCTCTCATCCCCTCTCCAGGCAATGACAAGTGTTTTGACTTGCCATTCTTCAAGCAAAGGATCCAAATGCATTTTTGCGCTTATCGTTGGCACCGATAAAAGACTGGCAAATTCCTTCAAGGTCCAGTCTGTCCAGTTTCTCCTGGTGCACGTGACACATGGCCACATGTTTCAGCCTTGTTTGACTCATCGAAGATCTGAGCCATGTCTTAAGCCTCATCAGGGCACTAAAACTCCTCTCAGCCTCGATTTAAAGCTTTCGTGACTGCAATGATTCATCTTCTTTGGTTCTTTCGTCGTGAGAATATTATTGTGTTATTTTATTTTATCAATTTATTATTTTATTCTCATTCTACGTGACTTTACCGAAAGAACCAAAGAAGATCCTCTCAGCCTCTATAGAGGAGGCAGGGACGACCAGCAGAAGCCTTACTAAATCTTCCACCTGGCTGAAGAGACCTCTCACCTCTGGCACCATTTCCCTAATAATGCTAGCAACATCTGAGTTCATTTGATCTGTGTAATTAGCCCCAAACATGGCCAGCTGCACCTGCAGTAGTATTGAATTAAATTCAGGATATTCGTCTAACAAACCTTGTCCATGTCTCCACGTAGCAGCACATTTTCAAGCTGCAGCTTGTGGTGTCCAGCTTGATCAAACTTTCTCTATGAATTGAGTATGCACTGTGTCCAAGGGGTTGTAGAATTGGGCTCTGTACAAAGACTGGGCATCCGGATGGATATGGGCTGCAGCCTGACCGGTGTAACGCTTTGTAGGTTTGCGGATATGAGGCATCTGAATAGGTTGTAGGTCCAACTTTGTTGCCATAGCAGTTGCTTTTTGCGAACAAGACATCAAAGTGCTCCTCCGTTCGCTTGTCCACAGCCTCTAACATGTCTGAAACAGTCTGTTTCCTAAGCTGCACGGAGGTGCTCAGGCACCCCAAATCCCCCATCAAGTCTTCAGCTATTACAAGGCCGAGCACAGTATTCCCTTTTAGAAATGTTCAATGAAGACCATTGGCCTCAGTTGAAGTGTCAGATGAGCTGCATGATGCCATTTCTTCAAGGGCTGTCAGCACTGACTCATACTGGCTGAGAACCGAGCGGATGGCAGGGGTGCGAAGAGTCCACCTGGTGGGACAGAGAGGTTTCAACGAGGTGAAACCATGCTCTGATTTTGCGATTTCCCGTAAAATCACCTTGAACTTGCCAGATTGTTTTGTTTCTGGCAAAGGAGGTCTCATGTTAATGCTCACCCCGAGCCCTCAATACTCTGATAGTGCGCTGTTTTTGAGTTGTACGCCTTTTGGCGTCTTCTGGTCCAACACCAATGGAGACTAGGCTCTAAGAAAAGCTGTCTCGGGTGTGGACCAATCAAATTCAAGGACAGTGCATATTATTATCAGAGTTGTCTTTTTTGTTTGCATTTTGACTGCTTGTGTTGTGGTTATTGCAAACATGATGCCTTGAATAAAGGTGTCAGTTTTTGTGCCAGTTAAAATGGTAAAACCTATTCCTATATCTTGCCAGATTGATTAAAGAAGCCCCCCAATTCATGCACCGGACTCATTGATTATAATCTTACTAGCGGAGAGGCTACACAGGCAGCCTGCGTAACTAAGTTCACGCAGTGTGGACCACAGTGACAATACATAGCCAGCGGTTGTTCTTTCCTTAAAATGGCTTGCGCCTCCTGCAATCATCCAGCCATATTTGCAGCACCGTCATAGCTTCGTCCTCGAAGTTGGGACAGAGGAAGGCCTAGACGCATCATCACATGCCATCTTGGATATATTTTGCCCTGTCGTTGATGACACTTTGTAGAGTCCCAGGAATTCGTCCTTTGGTTGTAGATCTTCATCTACAAAGCGCAAAATATTGACTCCTGCTCAGCACCTGATATTTCCTGGGTGCCATCAATGATAAGTGCGAACTGGACCACTGGCATTGATGTTATTTCCGACACAATTTATTTGACGATTGTATTGCCCACCAGCTTCAAAATTTCGTTTTGCATTTGGGGACTGGTGAAATCAAAGTGACCTTTCACAGCCAGGTGGTCAGCTCTGCATTGCCCTCTGCCTTGTACTTTAGAAGCTGGCTGAAATTCCCACTCTCCTTATCAACGCCTCGAAAAGCCAGACCTTGCCGTGCCAAGTACTTCACACCCCCAACAATCTTCATAAGGTTTCTCCTCGCTTGTTGCTGCTGTCTTTCAAGCTCACGTGAAAGTTGCACATTAACAGGTCTTGGCTCCTGAATCCGAGTCATCACAGCTAATCTGTGACACTGGCTGTCTTCATGCGCACTAAATTTGTCCAGTGCCTTCAAATTTTGAAAACCAGTCTTGACAAAAGCTGAATCTGCTTTTGACGCAAGCTTAGACTTTTGTGTTGCAAAGTATTTAGCACAATAGAAACAGAGGATCCCCTTTAAGGAGGGTCTGTAATGAAGCCAAGTATAATCTTTAAACCATTTCTCCTGAAAGTAGAGTGTCTTATTTGATAGGGTTTGACTAGGTATGACATTAACATTTGGCTGATTTGGGCGAGGTCCAAGCTCCTCCCCTCCCTCTCCTGCACCTTCATCTTCGCTTGCCTGTCTGCTTGATTGCATCATCTGAAATAAACATGAGAAGCCATACTTAGAGGAATAGCTCAGCTTAAATTAAGATTAGGATTAGACTGTAATAATGCCATTATTAGGTCTTAACCATCAATATTTGCTCATTTTCTCACTCACCTCCATGTCACCTGCTCTCCCTGCCCTGTCGGCATCCTCATGCTCTCTCCCCCTCTCTCTCGTTACTCTGAATGCACCAGAGTGAACATGAAAGAAATATGATCAGTAAACAAGTGGGTGTTTCTTGCCATGATGTTCACGAATCGATTAATAACCATTTCTGATCGGAATGGCAATTATTATTATATCAAGAAACATTGACTCATCTCTTGTACTACTGTATACTTCTATCGTCTGAATGGTACTCATTTTCTCACTGCTCTCAACTTTTCTTCTTTTTTGAGGCTGCCCAAAAAACTGACGAATGTCACTGCCACCCTTCCTTTTGCTCGTGATGACACTCACTGTGAATGAAAGCTGACTGTAATAAGACTGCTTGCACTTAATTCAAAGAAACACTAATAATGCTATTTATCATAAGCAATACAGCTATCCACTATACTATACGAATATGCAATAAATTAAAGTTACAACTGTCTACAAATATTACACATGCCGCACAACATAAATTATTGACACTTTACTCAAACTTCACGTGGGCTTTATAACAAATATAACATAATAAAGACATTAACGTTAGTTGAATACGCCCGTGAGCGCCACTGTTGGTCGCTGGGTGAATGTGTGGCTAATTAACTTTCCAAGTAACTTACTTAGCTGTGATAGCTAACGTTAGTGATGGTTGATTGATTAGCAATCGTAAATCGGCCCGTTTTAACCAAAAACGTTTGTTTCCACTCGACAGTGATATAGCCGACGTAACACTCATATTACATTCTAGTTTTCCACTTTTTAAAAATATATTTTAAAGCAATGAAATGGAGAGACAGGACAGTGTTTGACATTGATTGTACCGACCCACGGCTTCTGCTGGGGTACGGCAACACCACTTGGACAAACCACACGCAGAACTGCAGTACACCGTAATACTAGAACCGGTCATCATAATAATGGCAATTTGTTAAGTTCGGTTATGATTGTGATCACATTTGCTAATGATTATTTTGGACGGAAGTGCATGGTTGCCTGTTGTAGCATAGCAATTATTATTTTTAAAAAATATGTTTTCATATAAATATATTGGGGGGGGGGACATTTTGATGTGTGTTCCCCCCAATATGTCTCCCCCCCCAATATATACGGCCTTGGAAACAATACAAACAAAGCCAACACATTTGTCAAAGAGAACAGCATACGTTAGTGGTGACGTTTCGGGCGATGCCTATTCTTAATATATAGAGGAGATCGCAGAGCTTGGTCGTGTTGATGTCAAACTTCTTTCGCACCATACGGAGCCAATCGTGCTAATCGGAGATGCGGCGGAAGGACAACAAACGAGACACGAATATTTTTTTCTAAAATAAATTAGTTTTTAACCTTGATTTAAAAGGAGATAGCTCCAGTGGCTTCCTAATATCGGAAAGAAGAGGATTCCAGACGGCCGCGGAAGCGCATCTGAAAGCGCGCGATGCAGCGACTGTGGAAGCGTGCACGGCGGCTGACCACCTGGCTACCTTCCAGCTTTGTCTGCGGTTCCTCAGTGACTTGGGAGATGCAATTTGCATGGACGATTCTCTATTAAGTTAAACATTATGTTAAATTTTGATTTAAAGCTTTCGTGACTGCAGTGATTCATATTCTTGGTTCTTTCGGTAAAGTCACGTTGAAGGGAAAACAATAAAATAATAAAATATATAAAATACATATAAAACAATAAATTTTTATATATATATTTTATTATTTTATTGTTTTCCCTTCAACGTGACTTTACCGAAAGAACCAAGAATATACATTATATTAGGGAGGCCTTAATCCAAACATAATTATAATAATGTAATTATGAATACAAGAAAGCCACACCAAATCGCATGACTATTCATTGGGGTTTTATGTTAAGATGTGTTTACCGGAGCTCCCAGAGAAAACTCACGCCTTGCGCGAGGGGGAAACAAATTAAATCCCCGTACAGATGTAAACAGATGGCGATTCGCCCACTTTCTGTACTGTGAGCCAGAGTATGGCACCTCCTCGACGCCCCACGGGAAAGGATTTTCACAACTTTCATGCGGTGATCCACCAACCCTCGCTGCCTCTGCAGTGCTGGATTACAGGCTTCCACGTGCAGCACGGCCACCACCGCCCAGCTTGAACCAGAGTGGATTGACCACAGCTGACGATGATGATGATGATGATATTTCACGAGAAATGTCCCCGTCATTCGCATGGGGGCTGTCCTGCCTGTACGCTGCACCACGCCTGGCGACTCACGCGCCATCCAAGTAATTGCCCAGGCTAGTCGCTCTGACCCCGCGGTGATATGTTTCTCGGGAGCCGAGTTCCAGACCGAAGCCGAGACATTTTTCTTTCGCTTCAAAACCGGGTTCCCGGGGGGGGGGGGGGTGTCTCAAACTGTCCATCTTAATTGCGTTTCCACCAACGGACGGGTGAGCTTAATGGGCGTAAGAGTGGCACAATCTTTGTTTACGCCCGAGCGAACACGGCCGCGCGGGCTGATGCTGCAAAATGGGACACGCTATTCCACCACAGCACCCCCGGGGGGTAAGGGTATTCGGACTGAGAGTGCGATATCGTCTGTTCTCTTCGCGATTCATGAGCACATTATTCTATTATTATCACTTGCTGCATTAAAGTAGCTGATGGATTGTAGCGGCATCTAGTGGTTGCCCGAAACACGCGAACTGATTACCTGTAAAATAGATAGGCAGACAATAGGCCTCCTCATATATATGTCTCTCCACTCGTTTGTATTATTTATATATCGTTCACAACTACCCTAATGGTTATATCGAGTTATGATTTTCTACGGTGCATCGTCATCGTCAGCAGGCACGATCTATCCACTGCTGAATGAATGACTCGTTTCTCAAGCAACTCTTGCAGTTTCATGACATTTCGAGTTTGGGTCTTCCCGTTAGAGCCTGTCTCGGCCTCAGTGCGCTGCGTTGCACCACTATCCGAGTAGATAATCTCGCATTCAATAAACCGTCAAGAGCCAGGGTGAACATCCGACTCCAAACGTATTTCATTAATTGAACGAGGTAAAACTGATGGAAAAACACAGCAAAAATACAGCATCTGTTAATACTTGGAAATATCAATACAATGAATGAAAACTACAGCATCATAACATTGTCTTAGATAACATGATACTCAACAATAGATCCTGGATGGACCAGGCACCTACATTAGTACTGAATAGCTATACAAGATAATAAGCTACTGTGTTAAGGGCACATCGTGTAATCACCATGCTGCAGTCTAAATGTACAGCACTACACATAACACTGAACTGTGGATGAGATATTTCGTCATCCTTGCTCTCAAGATCGCAATAAGGTTACATGGGTACAAGTCTGACTCGACTTATTCAATTACAAGTAACGTTCACAATAAGGCAAGTGGCAGGCTGCGTTGTTAACTAGGCCTCATATTTATCATAATTTAACAGCATTATACAGGCATTTACAGCATTATAACGGCCATTCTAACATTATAACAGCATTCCCAGTATTATAAGAACATAAACGAACTTACAGATAACGCTTCTTAAAGTCCCACAATGAACAGATGCACCTGTCTTCACTAAGACGCTATTTGTGCCGCCATGTTGTACTCTGTGTAATGGCTGATACCCTGCCGCATGGCTTAGAGGATGTCAAATCGTAACTTCCTGGTCACGTGACCAAACTCAACATCCAATCAGGAAATTCCTGTGTACACACACCCCCACACCTGCCGTTGAGCAGAACAGGGCCCATGAAGTCGAATTCTTGAAGGCGTACGATCACCGATTCACCACCAATACTGCCACCACCTTATGTTTGCTCTTACCTCTGGTCGCTGACGTCAATGTGCCATTCGAAGGCCTGTCTCGGTCACCTGACATTCTCCTCCATCCTGGGGAGAGAAACAGAGAGAGAGAGAGGGAGAGACAGATGAAGAGGAGGAGAGAAAGAGATAAAGGGAGAGGAGAGACCGGCACCAGATGGGAAAATAAATAATTCAGGGCAAAGGGACACCGGACGGTGCCTCCGCCTTGACAAATGGGGAGCGACAGTCGCTCTTTTTGCAAGTTTATTATTAGCGCGCCTCTTCGTGTTCCCATTGTTGGTGGTGTTGCGGCGCTGTCAGGCGCTGTCCATGCTGCCGGCGGGCTGCCAGCGGGCTGCCAGCGTCGCCGTGTGCCGGTTTCGCGGGCACCGGTTTCACCGCTTGAGCGCCACACCTCGAGCGTTCATTTGATGGCTCTGTGTGAGGTTTTGTTATCTCACGGCCGAGATCGCCCCGTGCCAACGTGCATCGCTTCAGCTGTCCTCGAGGGCGAGATGGTGGGGGAGGATGAGGGGGTGAGATGGGACCCGCTATACCAGGAGTTGGCAATTTGCGGTTCCGGAGCCGCATGCTGCTCTTTAAGGACTGCCACGTGACGTTATTTTTTAAGGACCGCCTCGTATTCACATGCATTGTGGCTCTTGAAATATTGATTTGGTTTTGAACGAATGCGAAATGAATGGCTGTTCTTGTTATTTTGGTTACCGACCCCTGCGCTATCCCTATTTCTTTCAAGAGCTGGACCGGTGGTCGTCTCCAGTGGTGGAAATTCCACGTTCCTCCGGCGAGTACCAGTGTTCATGCGCAGGAGAGCCCACGCGCTGTTAATTTGTGTCACATGTTGTCTGAAGCAGCCTCGCTCGGCGGTGCTCATGTTAACCAAGGTTAGGGGTCGGCAACCTGCTGCTCCGGAGCCACAAGCGACTCTTTGAGGACTGCTTCGTGAAGTTATTTTTTAAGGACCGTCTCGTATTCACATGCATTGCGGCTCTAGAAATAGAGTTTTTTTAAAATCGAAATCGACAAAATGGCTCTCCTTGTTATTTTTAGTTTCCAACCCCTGACCACGATGGTATTGACGGTGGAGAGTAATGGTGTAGGTGGATAATGAAAATGCCGGTAGTCGTGGTGGTGGTAGTTGATGATAATGGTGATCGTGGTGCTGGTGGATGGTAATAGTGATCATGCAATTATTTACCCAGGAAAGTCTCAACGAGCCTCAGGACTCTTTGTCGAGTCCTGCTGCATTTGGATATTTGGCCAATTCCATTCGTGAGATCTTTGGCGCCGTGTGGGGAAACAAACCAACGAAGTTCCCGGAGAAACCCCCATGACGCTGTATAGGAGGGGGGTGACACTCAGCAACACTTTCGTTTTCCAGCTACACCTCCCAGCCAGCCACACACGTGCAACACCTGGCAAGCCTTGGTTGGTTGTTATCGCCGATCCAAATACTAACCAGGCTCAATCCATCCTGAGCCTATGAAACCCGACGAGTTCTGGCGCATTCAGGGTAATCTGGTCGTGTAGTGTGGATGATGATGACGACGATGATAACGACGTTCATGATAGTAGCCACAACATCGACGATAACGATTATATGAATGATGTTGGTCATTCATAATCACGGGCTGAGTTTCTACCATTTGGGTCGGGACGCGATCTCACATCATTTAACAGCAGCGTCCAGTCATTGTCTCTCTCTCTCTCTCTCCATCTGACAGGTCGAGGCTGCGGACACGTGGGTAAGGAAGAGGAGGAAGAGGAGGAGGTAGAGGAGGGAAATGATATTTGCGTGGTAGCAGCAGCAGCAGCAGCCCCTTAAAGTTTCACCCGTACGTCTGCGTCGCCGACTGTGAGCGACGTTTGCCTTTGCCTGCTGACGAATGACGACTCCCGTCACCTGTGCGTCGCGTTGTGATGACCATGATGATGATGCATCCCCCGGTGCGCTCCGCGCGGTCCATCGCCCTCCGCAAGGCCTTCAGGCGCGACTAACATCGCCCTAATGCGCAAATAATAACACGGCGCGCCGAACGCACACGCCACGCTCTCTGGAGGAGTGATGGATGGGGAGTTAGTTCCTCCGTCCGGCTGTGACCGCATTCACCCGATTATAAGACGCACCCCTCAACCCACAAACCTCCCACCCTACCCTGCCCAAAACACGTTCCCGCTGTCAATAAAGTTGAACAAATCTCGCCTCTCTCTTTCACACACACACACTTACAGAATTATATTACATTCAGAAAAAAAAGGTTTGCTGGCTGCCAGGACGTTACGTTCGCAGGACGTCCAAAGGACGTTCGCGTTGCTAGTAAATAAATAGATATACAAATTCGTCACTAACACTGTGGCCATACAGGAAATAAATATATAATGGGTGACGTCTTTTTTGAAAAATGGGCCTTTTAAGTAGCCAAAACCTTAATTGTAAAGCCTCAATATTGTTATTGACAAACATGTTGAGTTATTGTTGTTTGTGAATTGTGCTTGTTCACCACTGCCAACGCAGCAGCAGCATCGCCGGATTGTGAGACCCCATATTTGATTTACAATATAAGGAAAAGATGTGCGGCTTATAATCGGGAGAATACGGTATCAATCAGAGATATTCGCAATCCACCCTTTGGCTAAAACCTCCCAGAATGCGTTCCCGTTCTTGTCAGACGTCTACAGCTGGGCTGAGGATCGCGTCCTCGTTCTAATTGGGACGTAGCGACCACCCACCAGGACGAGTCGCTGGCAGTAGACTGGAGTATGTGGAATGCGACTAGTGGCCACTGAAAGGTATGTTCGATGTGGTGTGCCGGGCACGAATAATGTCTCGGCTCGCCGACCTGGAACGAGTTCCTGATAAACACCAAGCTCAGCGTGCTGCTGTTACCAGGGTTGTTCAACGACAGCCGGTAACATCGGTGCATTTTTTTTTACATTTCCCCATCAAGGAGTCGGCTTCAGACTCGTTTGGGGCATACCGGGGACAATCTGCTGCAAGGCGCGTGGCCGCACGATAAGAGGGCATCCGTGAGAAGCGACGAGGCCAGCATCAGTGCAGAGCTTCCGAGACTCCGCTCCACAATGCAAACCGCGCCACCCCACCACGGCAGGATATAGAAACCTCCCCCTGGGAGAAGGGACAAGTGGGAAAAGAGGGGGGGGGGACCGTCCCCATCTCCCCCTCTGAGATGCACCGCTGGAAGGCACTTTAATGTTTGCCGAACTTTACAGGTCAAATATGAGTTGAGTTTTTGAGCGCTGTACGCGCCTGATTATTGTTACTTTCTCTACTGACTGCTGTCTTCTCCACTCTCTCTATTGTCTCTTCCCTCTCTACTCTCTTCGCTCATACCCTGCCTACTCTCTCTTCCTCTTCCCTCCACTCTGCTAGCCTTTTTCCCTCTCCCCTCTCTACCCCTCTCTCCCCTCTGCCCTCCCCTCTATCCCCTCCACTATCTCCCCTCCCCTCTCTCCAATCCTCCTCCCCTCTCCTCTCGGATTGACCCGTGCGTAACGGCGAGACGTGGTAGCAGTATAAGGGTCGTGAGCGGAGGGGCGGAGTAGGGCGGCGGCGGGGGGGGGGGAATGCCCCCTCTCTCCGCGAGGGGGCCCTGGGGTGATGTATGACCTAATATAGCCTGAGCCGTTCCCCGTCTGCGCAAATTTGTCCCGGAGAGATTCGGTTCCAAATTGCCGCATAGGTCTTGGTGCCACGGAGCGTGTGGAGTGATAGCGTACGTGAGTGTGTGTGCGTCTGTGTGTGTGCATGTGCGTGCGTGTGTTGTTTGTGTGCGGTGGGAGCAATAGTGTATTGGTTAGCGCACTGCGCTACGAACCCGGCGATCCGGGCTCGATTCACGCTAACGTTCACCACCAGTGACGATTATCTGAATCGGTCCTCGACTTCCCCTAGGTCGACTCAGCCTCAAATGGGTACCTGGTGCGGTGTATGTACATCGCCACTCGGGAGACAAAGGCGGTCGGGCGCCGTGCTGGCCACCCACTCATGCGTATGCCATGTCGGCCTTAAAACAAGTTTTGAGAGTATGATATAGCCCACACGACTACGCGTTGGTATGGGCGCCCATCGTGAGTTATGAATGGAGAGCATCTCCAATGATTATGCGATGCAGATGTTCGTGGAATGTTACTGTGAAGGTGAGTGTGATGTAAATTAAATATTTCATGGATGGAAGGAAGTAAGGACTCTCTTACAATGGAGCATGGTCGCCCTTGAATCAATAGCTGTTTAGCTCAATGAGCCATACCTGTCTGAATGAGTTCTGAAGTCTAAAGAGCAGTGTTACCAAAACCATCTATGAACTGGGGTGTATTTAAATACAGCCACTGCTGTCATCACGAACACACCACGAATAACCGCAAATCATCATCATCAACATCCTAATCATCATAACAACACATAATCATAATCACCGTCACCACAACCCACTCCTGCCAAAATCATCGTACCCATCACCACTATGATCATAATAACACGAAATAATAATCATTATTCTCCACCATGCACTACAATTGTAATCATCTTAATAATCATCATCATCACAATAATTGATATTATAAATATCATAATCATCATGTTAATATATAATCATTAGCTTACCACGGTTGGCTACGTATGGTGCGAAATAAGTTCAACATACATATCTTCATCGTCGCCACCACCACTATCATTATAAATTTAATCACCACCACCAGCCATCCAGCACCCACCACCATTATCATCCCCATCACTTAATCGGCACACGTGGTGGCATTTCTCGAGTGAGCGGAAGCCTACTCACTCTAACCGCTCCCACGTCCCGCATTAACTAAATGAACCGGCCATCAATTCTTCGGGCTGGCGGGAGCACAGGCGGATGGGGGTAGGGGGCGAAATTGGAGGTTGGCTGGGGAGGGAGGGGTCATTGTCAGGTGGGGTTGGGGGGGGTCTGATGGGAGAGGGGGGGGTCCACGAGAGCGGCTCTCGAGACCCCCCCCCCCCCAGTGGAGGGCCCTGCCGCCAGTCGAGCGGCGGTGGCTACTCACGTGGCCTGCTATACAGCAGCGCTGTGGATCAAGAACAAAGACAAAGATCCCCCGTGTAGCCTTAGCAGACTCTTGGGGCAAGTGCTGTTAGCGGGTGGCCGACACCACACCCGGCCGCCTTTGTCTCCCAAGTGGCTGATGTTTACACACCACACCAGGTACTAATTTAAGGATGCGTTTACCTACGGGAAGCCCAGGACCGGTTAAAATAATCGTCACTTGTGTTGGCCGGACGTTGCGAGGGTTGGTGTATCATCGCACACACACACGTTTGCAAAACTCCCATCTCTCGTGGGAGTCGAGGAGGTAGCTCGCCAGGAGAACGCAGTGCAGAGAGTGGAATAACCGCCATCTGTTTACATCTGTACGGGGATCAAGCGTTATTGCCCCATCGCTGCGCTTGAGTTTTATCCGGGTGCTCCGGTTTCCTTACCACTTGAATAATAAACGCAACTCATCATTACTTGACTGAAAGAAATCTTAAGATAAAAACCCCAGCGTAATGGGACCTTCCCAACAAAGAGTCTCGCGACTCAAGTGTGGCTTTTTTCTGGATAAATAAGCAAATCTTTATCATTAACGCTGTGGCGATTGCAGGGCTGCACCATACC